AGATGACGGAGTTTTGAGGATGCAGGGTCGTGTTTGTGTGCCTAATGTGGATGGACTTTGTGTGTTGATTCTGGAGGAGGCCCGCAGTTCTCGGTATTCTATTCATCCAGGCACCGCCAAGATGTATCAGGACTTGCAGCAGCATTATTGGTGGAGGAGGATGAAGAAGGATATAGTTGCATATGTAGCTCGGTGTCTAAATTGTCAGCCGGTAAAATGTGAGCATCAGAGACCTGATAGTTTGCTTCAGAAGTTGGAGATTCCTGAGTGAAAGTGGGAGCGTATCACTATGAATTTCGTTGTTAGACTCAGATAAAGTTCGATGCAGTTTGGGTCATTGTGGACAGGCTGACTAAGTCAACGCATTTCATTCTTGTGGCAGTTACCTATTCTTCGGAGCGGTTAGCAGAGATTTATATCCTCGAGATTGTCTGTCTTCACGGTGTGCCCGTGTCTATCATTTCTGACCGAGATACGCAGTTCACCTTGCACTTCTGGAGGGCAGTACAACGTGAGTTGGGCACGCGGGTCGAGTTGAGCACATCGTTTCATCTACAGACGGACGAACAATCCGATCTCACTATTCTGATATTGGAGAATATGCTTCGCGCATGTCTTATAGACTTCGGATGATCGTGGGATCAGTTCTTTCCCCTTGCAGAGTTCTCCTACAAAAACAACTACCAGTCGAGCATTCAGATGGCTCCCTATGAGGCATTATATGGTAGGCGGTTCCGGTCGCCAGTTGGGTGGTTCGAGTCGGGGGAGGCTCGGTTGTTGGGTACAGACCTAGTACATGATGCCTTGGATAAGGTCAAGATTATTCAGGATTAATTTCGCACAGCTCGGTCCAGGCAGAAGAGTTATGCCGATCGCAGAGTTTGTGATGTTGCATTCATGGTCGGGAAAAAAGTGTTGCTCCGGGTATCACCCATGAAGGGTGTAATGAGGTTCGGAAAGAAGGGCAAATTGATCCCTAGATATATCGGACCTTTTGAGATTCTGGAGAGAGTGGGAGAGGTGGCTTAGGCTTGCATTGCCACCGGGGTTATCAGCAGTTCATCCTGTATTCCATGTGTCCATGCTCTGGAAGTATCATGGCGATCCGTCCCACGTGTTAGATTTCAGCTCTGTCCAATTGGACAAGAATTTGACTTACGAGGAGGAGCCGATGGCTATTCTAGCCCGGCACGTTCGTCAATTAAGATCGAAGAGTTATCCTTCAGTTCGAGTGTAGTGGAGAGGTTAGCCCGTCAAGGAAGCTACTTGGAAGTCCGAGTCGGATATGCGGAGTATATATCCCCACCTTTTCACCAGCCCAGGTACTTTTCTATGTCCATTCGTGGACGAACGATTGTTTTAGAGGTGGAGAATATAATGACCCGATAGGTTATCTTATGTTTTAGAACCTAATTTTGCGCTTTGAAGCCTTAAAAATCTCACTTTTCCCTCCAAGATTTGTGTGCGCAGTCCGGTCGTGTTTCCGAAAAGCTTTTATGTTAAAAACTGTAAAAAATATGAAATTTTGCTTTGAAATCCATTTGAGTTGACTTCGGTCAACGTTTTGAGAAAACGGATTTGAATTTGTGTTTTGACGGTCCTGGTGGATCCGTATCGTGATTTGGGACCTGGGCGTATGCTCGGAATCGAATTCGGAAGTCCCTAGCCCGAGCTATCGGACTTTGTTGAAATTTGAAAGTTAAAGGCTTAATGATTTTGAAATGTTTGACCGATGTTTGACTTTTTGGATATCGGGTCCGTATTTTGGTTCCGGAACTCGGTATAGGTCCAACAATATATTTATGACTTGTCTGTCAAATTTGGTGAGAAACGGAGTTAGGGTTTGACGTGATTCGGACGTCCGATTTGATATGCTACGGAGTAAAAATTGGACTTAGAGCATTGCTGGTGTGCTTCACTTTTATTGCAGGCCTCAGACCTCGCAATTGCGAGGTCAATCATCGCAATTGCGACCACTGATGGGTTCGCATTTGCGAGCTATTGCGATGAGTAGCTGGGAAGGCCTGAGTTCGCATTTGCGAAGAGGGACAGGGGGAGACAGTGATCGCAAATGCGATCAAATGGTCGCATTTGCGGAGATCATTGTTCGCAATTGCGAACCATTCTTCGCATTTGCGAAGAAAGCAGAAGTGTGGAGAACTTTGCATTTGCGATGGTTTCTTCGCATTTGTGGGGTTCGCATTTGCGAACCCCAGGTCGCAAATGCGACATCTGCACCTGATCAAATATGACTTAGACGGGATTTTTGGTTCATTCTTCAAATTTTCAAACTCAATAACCCTAGAGGCGATTTTTTAAAGAACCTTTCTTCCCCAAATCATTGGTAAGTGATTCTAAACTAGTTTCTTTCAATCTTTCACTACTTTTTCCTAAGATTTCAACCTAAAATATAAAGTTTTCATGGTAGAAATTGGGGGGTTTGGGTAGAATTAGGGTTTTTAAAAATACATAGGGATTTAGACCTCAAATTGAGGTCGGATTCCAAAATAAATTACATAACCGGGCTCGGGGGTGAATGGGTAATCGGATTTTAGTCCGAATTTCGGGTTTGGACCAAGCGAGCCCGGGTGTTGACTTTTGTTGACTTTTTCAATAATGACCTAAATTGAATTCTTTGCAATCGTGTGTAGTTCCTAAGACTTAATTTGAATCATTTGGTTGGTAAATTGCTAGATTCTATTGGTTCGGAGGCTTGATTGAAAAGAAAAGCCGTGGTTGAGCTTTGAGTTTGGTCTTCGGAGCGAGGTAAGTGTCGTAGTTAACCTTGACTTGAGAGAATATAGCTTGTATTTCTATTTGCTACATGTTTAAATGTTGGGGAACAACGTATATGTGAGGTGAAAAGTACTTATGCATTGTAGTCAGGTTAAAGCATGCGGGCGAGGTTTGGTTTCTTGCAATTATAGCTTCCTTTGTTCATATTATCCATGTTTAGACTAGTATTGTTTAATTGATAGTTCTTATCATATTTACGGATCTTCTGGTGATAATTGAGCATTGATTCCGAAGTTGAGGTTGATATAGTGGAACCAAATATTGAAGTAAGGCTTGTACTTGTTATTCTATCTCCCTGTTGTTATTTGTTCATTGCATTATGGTAAGGGAGAGTGTTAATGCACGAAGGGTGATACCATACCATATTGTGAGTGTTAATGCGCGAAGGGTAATGCCTTGCCATATTGTGAGTGTTAATGCACGGAGGGTGATGTCGTACCATATTGTGAGTGTTAATGCACGAAGGGTGATGCCATGCCATATTGTGAGTGTTAAAAGCACGAAGGGTAATGCCGTGTCATTTCTATCGATTTTATGGTGAGGTTGAGAGTAAAAGCACGAAGGGTGATGCCGTGCATTTTTCCTTTACTGTATTTACTTGTTCTTATTGGTTCATAGTGTATTAGTTGTTTAAGTTACCATTCTGCTGTAGTTCTCTATCTCGTATTTCCTTCAGCATGCTCCCCCTCCCAATAGTACATGTTTAGCTATTATTGTACATATACTGTTAAATTGCACAGGTTTGTTAGGTAGGTGTCTTGTCATAGCCTCGTCACTACTTCGTCGAGGTTAGGCTCGACACTTACCAGTACATGGGGTCGGTTATACTGATATTGCACTTGTACTTCCTGTGCAGATTTTGGTATTGGTCTCAGCTGATCGAGAGGCGTAGCAGCTCGGATGGTTCATCGGAGACTCAAGGTAGATCTGTTGGCGTTCGCAGACCTTGAAGTCCTCGTCTATCTTTTCTGGGTTTTTTTTCTTTACTGTTTCTTTCGTTCAAACAGTTGTATTTCTTTCAGACTTTTACTTGTAGTAAATCTTAGAAGTTCGTAAATTGTGACTCCAGATCCGGGTGGTAGAAATAAATGAAGTTGTTATATTATTACGCACTCGCTGTATTTCATTTTAGCTTATTTGTTGTTATTTACTGAATTGAACAAGGATTGGTTTAATAATTCTCTAATGTCGTGCCTAGTAAGTGGAATGTTAGGCGTCATCACGGTCTCGACGGTGAGAATTCCGGGTCGTGACAAAAAGCTTTCTATACTGTCTAAGATATCCTGAAATTCGCCTTATGTGTTTTTTCAATATAGTTTGGCTAAAGAGTGTTGTTACATATTGTGGAAAATGGGATAGTAATATAATATTCGCCTCTGTTTTTTAGGAAAATTTTTTACTTGATTATTGGTAAGTATATCAAATTTTGCTCGTAGATAATCCCAATTCTTGCGGAGATGAACATGAACATTAAGGTAAATTGCACTAGTCTACTTCCTAATTTGAAGCTTTCAGATGGATATTCCTATTTGATTAATACTACTATTTAAATTAATATTATACAAAATCACATTAAGTTTCTTGATTTTCTTTTTGAAAAGTTCTTATCATTTGTTGTTCGTCCATCAATTTTAAACTACTCTCTTCTCTCTTAACTTATACATCTTAACCAAAAAAAAAAAAAGAATAACATAAGTAATTTTGATGGTGATCAAAGTTTTCTTTTTATGGAAAAAATTAATGACTTTGCTTGGGACTTTCCCAAAGGTGAAAAGGTAAAAAGGAATGAAAAGATAACAAATGAGAGCTTTTCTTTAATTAGAAAGTATAAGTTAAGACGTTACTTTCGTGTTCTTGGTATTTCATTTTGAGCTCCTTGAAAATGCAATTAATTAGGTAAGGCCAATCAACCTGGCAATACATATTTGACACACTAACATGATGTATATGTAAAAGCAAGTAATCTGTATTGTTGAAAAGGGATGTTTCGTTTTCCCTTTTCTCCTCCTTTTTTTTTTTTTTGGGGGGGGGGGGGTTTTTTTTTTTTTTTTTGGGGGGGGGGGGGTTTACTTTTATCAGTTTTAATTTGCAAACTATTACAAATTCTAAAATACGCTTAGTAGCTGCTCTAACATGTGAATAAAAATTAAAGATTCTCTTTCATATAAAGAAGCCTGTTAAAGAACGTTTGATAACGGAGCAAATGAAGACCAAGAATCAAGGGATTTCATCATCAAAGTGGATAAACTCTTTTACTTTCAGCTTCAACATAAATATGTGTACATGGGGCATATCATGCCCAAATTTCAGTACAGAATGCAGTTTAAATAAAGCCCTCTACATCCCCACAACTGCGGTTTATCAAATGTATATATAAGGAAGAAAAGAGATAAAGAGGACCAAAAACAATGGATACCAGAAGTCAGAAAATGCATTCCTCAATTCAAGAATAGGATTGCTATGGTACAGGGATGAGAATATCATATGATATTCAAGGTTTCATTAAGGTTTTCTTGATATAATTCAGAACTTTGTCCACGTCAACTGTCCATGCAACTGAAACTGGAGAACACTCTGTCCACGGATTGCTTGTATTCCATCTACATAAAATTTATTGTTATAATCCAAATCTAAAGATGAGCCGAGGGTTTACGGAAACACTTCTCTGCCTTCCTATAGGTAGGGGTAGGGGTCTGCATACACACTACCCTCCTAAGATCCACTTGTGCGATTTCACTGGGTTGTTGTAATCCAAATCTAAAGAATGGAGTTAGACTCTAAGATTTGCGTGACGTGATCAGTTGAGGATACTTACTTCTTTAGTCCTTTGTCCAAGAGCGTGTACCCAACGCAAATGCCCTGTGTCTCAACCCGTACAACGCCTTTCTTGTACGAGAAGAGGTCAGGTCTAAGTAGTGCCACAAAAGTGACAGGATCGTGAAGAAAAACTCCTGAAAAGTAAAATTTGCTCGGAATTATTATAGCGAGGTATCAAGTAACAAGGGTCAAGAAATAAATTGAGGGAAGGTGGGTTAAGAACATATTGTGCGTCCAAAAACAATGTAAGAACTGAATCAACAACAATAACAGCAAACCCAATATAATCTCACAAGGAGGTCTGATGAGGGTAATGTGTACGCAGACCTTATCCCTACCTTATGAAGGTAGAGAGGTTGTTTCCGATAGAATCTCAGTTCAAGAAACAATGACAAGGAAATGTAAGGACAGAAAAAGAGTACCATAATAGTCATCTGACTTTACATTAAAATCTCGGTAAAATTTGCACATGTTGCACAATAATTTGACATGTTTTCCGTCGGATTGCCTCAGTTCGTCAAGGTCAGCATCTAAAACAAGAAAAAAAAGGAAAATATGAAGTCTGAACTGAAAATTGAAATACATCTACACTTAAGGTGGAAAACAAGAAGAGTGATAGAAACTAAGAGTCCACCAAATTGTATAGGTTCCCACAGTAAGTAATAGACTGTAAAACCAAATAATATAGGGAACCGGGTTCTCTATCTGTTCCCACAGTAAATCGGCAGTAAATAAAGAACATGTGATATTTACGTGGAAAACTCCTTGCTCAAGGGATTAAAAATCACGACCTACCCTAGTAGGATTTCAACTCCACTAAACGGAGCAAACGTCAGATTACAACCTATTGCAATCTAGGAATTAAACTATTAATCTCTCACCCCTTACAATAACTCTATTGTAAGCCCTTTGCAATAACTCTATCACAAAGCAACAAGCCTTGACTAACTATAGTCAAGAAACTAAACCAAACAATGGTTTAAATATGTCCTACAAAGATACTTCTTGAAAGTAGCGTAGGATTACAAATGAAGAACAAAATAACAAAGACTCAACAAACCTAAGGACTTAAGATATTTTCAATCTTTGGATCTGGTCCTTGAAGTTGCAACAGCTTTGTTCTTGAGAGAGAGGTGGTGGCTAGCACTTGAGAGAATATTATCTTTTGATTGGCAAGTGTTGAAGAGATAAAATCCCTTGCTTCATGTTGATAATATGTGTGTGTGATGTCATCAAGGATGATGCAATAAAGTGTCCTTTAGTTTGGCCTTAGCAAGCTACAACTGTGCTGTTGTACTGCTGCCAGACGGTACAGTGCAACAACCTACCAGACAGTACAGTGCAACAGCTTTTATAGCTGTAGAGTTGACTGTACGACGACTAGGGGAACTGATCCATAATTGTTCCTTCTGATGTTCCCTTATCTAATTTCATTGAGAATTAAACCAGACATCTGACTAGTTACTCTGAATGCAAGGGAACTAATTGTATTAGGTTCCTTATCTGATTTTCTCATAAAGTTTGTCAAATCATCAAAACAAAAGACATATAACTTATCAATTTCCCCCTTTTTGATGATGACAAACTTAGAATTGATATTCCCCCTAAGAACCAGATCTCTACATTATTTAACCTACGAATCAGCCAATTCCCATTGAGAACCAGAACAAAGGAACTGATCACAACCGGTTCCTCGAGATTATTTGGTAAATCATCAAAACACAAAATAGTATAACTTATCAATTTCCCCCTTTTTTGGTGATGATAAACGCAGAATTGATATTCCCCCTGAGAATCAGATTCCTTACATATATTGATCACATCTGGTCCGTACCTGGTTCCTTGAGAATATTTGGTAAATCATCAAAATATGAAACATCATAACTTAGAGCAATTTTCCCTTTTTTGATGATGACAAACCCAAACATGATGTTAGCCTTGAGAACCAGATTCCTCATATGTTCCCCTGCGGATCAGACCTATAACCAACATGTTATCAGCAACGTTCCCCCTGCGAAGCAAAGCTATCTTTCATGCACAACACATAATATCAATTCAATTTTGTTCCTCCCCCCTGTTGACACCTACGTAACTTCCCCCTTTTTGCATCATTGAAAAGAATAACAGAAGAAGCATAACCAAAAAGAAGTTCAACAACATTAACTCATGCCACTTGGGCAACACAACATAAATAATAACAAGAACAACAAGTGAATGTCATTGCACAAAATAGAGTGATTGCCCATAGTAGAGTAATTATAACAAAAGCACAGTAATTTCAACAATACAGAATATGACAATTTAAACTCTAAAGTACTAATATCATCAAACATAGGGAATAAAAGAAGATATGAATTCGAGGGAATTTTGAAGGAGTGAAAGACATGGATCACTGGGCAGGAAGAAAAGTAAGGGGCTAAGGCATTGATAAGCTTGTCCATTCGTTCATTCATAATCCTTTGATCAATGATCATATGCTCTCTCAGGTTCTCCACGTGTTTCCTCAATCTTTCATTCTCACCCTTCAAATTAGAATTATATTCTGCCAAGGGTCCACGGGGACCTGGTTCTCTACCTATCTGAGCAGGTTGAACCATCAATCAGATCACCAAGAATCTCTCCAAGCTTCTCCTCATCAAGAACAAACTCAGTCCCATGCACATATAGCATCAGAGTATCACATACACCATAGAAGTTTTTACTTCTTCTTCATATACGTTGGGACTTGGAGGAACAAAGAGGTGATTCTATTTTTGGAACTCAACAATGTCAAGAAGTTTCGTCATTTTTCAGCAATATCAGAGTCAACATTCTGCCTAACAATACTTTTTGAGACTTCAGAGTCTTCTACCTCTCCAAACCCGATAACTCAACCTTTTGCTTCTGTAAGGAACCAGGTTCGTCACTCACACTACCTTTTCTTTCCCTGAGCGGCCATGTCTCCCTCTTCTTCTTCTCAATCTGTTCACCCTTATCATCTGCTGTATTTTTCTCAGCCAACTTTCTTTTCTTCATTTTTTTTTTGAATTCTTTCTCACAAGTGAAGATTTTTCCACTTCATATTCTCTTCCACAATCACCACATTAGCAGGTCACACCACTTCATCATCAATCAGCCTACTTTTCATCAATTCTTTCTACTGGATCGGAGGTTCGTTTAAGCACAGAACTCACGAGAAAAAGATTTTCATCGGAATTAACATCCTAAGAAGGATTTGAGGGACCATGTCCCTCATTCAGTTCCCCATTTTCCAGCACATTTACTGATTTCCCCATCCTTCAAGTCTTCTACAAACCCAACAACAATTTCAGCCTCACTCTCTAGAATGTTATATCTACCCTATTCCTTTTCAGTTAAAGTCCCATCAAAACTTACCAAAGACTGTTTGGGTTTCGATTCAGATGGAGTTAGTATTTTGGAAGGTGACAGAGTTGGGTTCACTTCTGGTATATTTGGAGAGAATGATTCTTTTTGAGATAAGGTTGATTTAGTTTTGAAGAAAAGAATCAGTTTTGGTTGGGTGTGAGAGAAGGAAATGGTTTCTTAGGGCAACGGGTCAGTTCAGAAAAGGTTTAACATTTTGGACTTCAAATATTTGGAGAGAGACGGGGATAAATTAATGACATTACACTCCAGCAATTTAAAAGTCATATAAGTATTGAAGAGACTACTAACCTGAGTCACAGGAACCAGGTTCCTTGACGGTTTTTGAAAATTTGAGCAAAAACTCCTAGAAGTGCAATGTCACTCTTACTTGTTTTATCCTGAAACTGCCATGTATGTATACCAGTAACACTATAGATTTGAGTTAGATGTCGCCAAAAAATACTTTTTAGCATTGTACCTTTCCTTCTTATCATAGCCAATCATCGAGGGACCGGGTCTTTAGTTAAGCTTGATCAACCCCAACTCCTGACAATTTCTTTCAAAGTGTTCCCTGCTCAGTGCCTTAGTGAAGATGTCTGCTACCTGGTCCTCCGTCTTCCAGAAGTTCATACAAATCAAACCCTTTTCAACATTATCCTAAAAAAAGTGATGTCACACATCAATGTGCTTTGTCCTTTTATGTTGTACCGAGTTCAAGCTGTAAATACAACGAGGTCTTCAAGATGTTTCTTGATCTGTAGTAGTTGAGCACAACAAGAAGCATCAGCCACGTATTCGGCTTCAGCAGTAAAAAGAGCCATACAGTTTGTTTCTTTGTACCCCATGAGATCAAGCATGACCCCAGAAAATGTGTCGTTCTAGATGTGCTCTTTCTATCCACTAGATATTCAACATAATCAGCATCAACATATCCAACCAAGTAAAAAGTATCTCCTGAAAAATATTCAAGGACCAGGTCCTGCGGTCCCTTAGGATACCTCAAAATTCCCTTGGCAACATTCAAGTGAGAGTCTTTTGGACCAGGTTCCAATCATTGTTCTGTCTGAAGGCCTAGGGACCAGGTGCCACACTTTGTTCCTCTCAACTAGAGGTGGCAAAATGGGTAAAAGAAAATAATTATCCCCCCATATTATCCATTAAAAAATGGGTTGGATAATGAACTTTTTAAAAATGGGTTGAGTATGGATAAGAACCATATTATCCACTTAGAAAATGGTTAACCAAATAGATAATCAATGGATAACTAATGTGCTTAACTTTTTCATTTGTAAAGCCTCAAATTGGGGGTTCCTCAAGTTTGGGAGACTAGGAATTCCCCCATAAGTGATCATATTCAAGAAGTCATGGATAATATCGATATCAATATCCACCGGATAACCCATTTTTTATCCGTCTCAAATACGGGTCGGGTCGGATAATTTATCCGTTTTTTGAATTACCCGTTTTCGACCCGCGAATATCTGACCCTAGCCGACCCGCCTGTTTGTCGCCCCTACTCTCAACTGATGGAGTTCTTTTTGCATAGCAGCTATCCAGTTAGTATTTTTCAATGCTTCTTTGATGTTCTTAGGCTCGATTTGAGACAAGAAGGCTGAGAGGGCAAACATGTTCCTTCTCTTAGAACTAGGTTGAATACCAGAGTCTAAGGGTGTGATTTTATTTTGAAGGGATTTGAAATCTTTTGCTTCTAGTTGGATACTTGAACTTTAGAATTTGAAGGACCAGGTTCCTCCATATTTGAAACATCATTAACATTAATAGAATTATGACTTCTACTCCTTTGTTCTGCATCAGGAGTGTCTAATGCAGCATCAACAACCCTATGTTCAACTTCAGTTGAGGTGATAAAGGGACCAGGTTCCTCTGTGTCTTTTGGAGATTGTGCTGCATCTCCTTAATCATTTTGCTTGATTTGACTCATCAAATCAGTTTTTCCATCTACAATATTTATAGCTTCACCGGGAGCATTTGTAAATTCTCCATCTTCATTTTCTTTGTTATGTGACCATTTGCCACCATTCTTGAGAACAAAATATTTTGCATCCAAAGGCTATCGGGTAAGTCAGATTGAGTTTTCTCCCATTGAGCAATTCATAGAGAGACTTTTTGAGAAGGGACCTGATCATGCATTTGTTAATCAAGTAGTAAGCAGTGTTGAATGCTTCATCCCACGAACCAGGTCCTTTATAACCAACTTGTTCAGCAAATAAAAACTCACATGCCCCAATGGTCTGTGCCATAACTCTACATTTTCATCAATGACACTTAGGCATATTATATCACACCATTCAGTGAATCAAGGTCTGCAACATAGATGTTCTTGAATCGCTTGGCTATCAATACCATTTCACCAATTTTAAGATTGGTGAAAGTGCAGGATTTGGACAAGAACTTCACTTCATTTTTCCTTATCACGGATTTGAGACACACTCAACAAGCTATATTTCAAGCCATTCACATAGTACATATTTTTAATTGCATGGGAGAGTATTTTGTCAATTTTGCCAACACTAAGAATATAGCCTTCTTGACATTTTCAAAGGACACACTCCCACCTTGGAAGGCCTAGAGTGAAAGGAAATCATTCATTCTTCTAGTTTTATGCTTAGAGCAACCACTATTCATGTGCCATTTATTTGATTGCTTCCTCTCACTCCAGCTTGCACACGAAATCAATAATTAGACTTAGGAACCCAAGCCAGCTTGGGTCCCTTATAATGATAGAATGGGCGGATCAAACTTCTGTTTGCCCATGCAGGCAATATATATTTTTTTTTCAGGGAACCAGGTTCCTCAACAGTAGGCCTCTTTTCAACAAAAACTTTATTTTTCTGCAAAGACTGAATTTTAGTTTTATAACAGTCCTTATAATGACCCGTTTGACCACAGTGAGTACACAACCAATTATCAGCCACTTTTACATACTTTCTATAGGGATTATAGGAGGTTTTAGCTTTTTGGAACTCGATTCCTTGCTTGTTTCCACCATTACTCTTGTACATAGATGTTATTACATCAGAGGACCAGGTACAATTAAGTGACTTATCAAGATCATTTTTAACCCTTTACAAATCCTCCTGAAGTTGTCTATTCTTTTCAAGCTCAGCAACAAGACTTGTTTTAACTTTCTTAAGCTCACTCTCAAGCTCAAGTTGAGCCTCACAAGCCACTTCTTTACCCTTAGTATTGTCCATCCATTTTTTCGTTTGGTTTGTCAACAAGTTATTTTCTCTAGTTACTTCTTCCACTTGTTCCTTCAAATCTACAATGAAAACTACCATATTATCCCTCTCTTATTCTATATTACCAATTTCTTCTATTAAAGTATTTTTCTCATTAATGAGGCTATGATAGGCATCAATCAACACATTTGCTAAGGACATCAATTTTTTCTTAGAGTAGGTTTTCAAATTTCTTTGAACATCAAGAAAACTTACCTCATCCTTGTCCTCATCATTATCAGATTTGGCCATGAGTGCAAAGATTGACTCATATTCTAAAGATACATTGTCAGCAACCATCAGAGATGTATCTCCTTGGTCATCTTCACCTTCAGATTCACCAGAGGAAATTCCTCAGTCAGCCAGGGCTTGCTTCACCATGTTATCAGCAGCATCTCTTCTTTTGAACTTTCTGTCAGGGACCTGGTTCCTCTTAGCCACATTTTCAACATTGGTTTTGTAATGATACTGCTTATGAAGAGGATAGTCTTTAATGAAGTGTCCAGGCTTTCCACACTTATGACAATAATCATTTCCTTTGAAATTCTTGTTGGAACTTCCTTTCTTTGGAATCTCACTATTTTTTCGAATCATCTTTTGGAATCTTTGAGTGAGATACTCCATGTCAGATTCATCACTACTTGAATCCTTCTTGGCGGCCTTGAGAACCAGGTTCTTCTCCTTCCTGGGCTCTCTTCTTTCGAGATCCTTCTTTCTCTTCATCTCATAAGTTTTGAGATTTCCAATAAGCTCGTTAATAGTCAGCTTCTACAGTTCTTTGGCTTCAGTGATAACATTAACATTGCTCTCCCAGAAACCTGGTAGAACACTGAGTATCTTCCGGACCAGCTTGTTGGTTGGAATGATTTCACAAGTGAATGAAGCTCATTGATTATGGAGGTGAAGCGGGTATGCATCTCTTGAATGGACTCATCTCTTTCATTTTAAAGAGTTCATACTCAGTTGTAAGCATATCTATTTTCGACTGCTTTACCTGAGTAGTCCCTTCGTGAGCCGTTTGAAGAGCTTCCCAGATTTCCTTGGCAGATTCACATGCCGAGATACGATTATACTCGTCTAGTCCAATACCACACACAAGAATCTTCTTCACCTTGAAGTTCTTCTTAACAGCTTTTCGGTCAGCACCATTGTATTCTTTCTTGTCTTTGGAACAATCTTTGTTCCCTATCCAACAGCCTTCATAGGGACAAAGGGACCATCACAAATCACGTCCCAAAGCTCGTAGTCTTAGGCCATAATGAAGTCATGCATTCTTATTTTCCACCAACCATAGTATTGGCCGTTGAATCTTGGGGGTTTATAGGTTGATTGTTCTTCCTCGAAGTTTGGTGGAGCAGCCGTGATGGGGATCCTTTCTAGGTGTTAACCTTTTAGAAAGAACCTGCTCTGATACCAATTGATAGAAACTAAGAGTCCACCAAACTGTATAGAGAACCAGGTTCTCTATTAGTTCCCACAGGAAGCAATAAACTATAAAACCAAACAGTATAGGGAACCAGGTTCTCTATCTGTTCCCACAGTAAATCGGCAGTAAATAAAAAATACGCGATATTTACGTAAAAAACTCCTTGCTCAAGGGATTAAAAATTACGACCTACCCTAGTAGTATTTCAACTCCACTAAACCGAGAAAACTTCATATTCCCTCACCCCTTACAATAACTCTATTGTAAGCCCTTTGCAATAACTCTATCACAAAGCAACAAATCTTGACTAACTCTAGTCAAGAAACTAAATCAAACAATGGTTTAAATATGTCCTACAAAGACTCTTCTTGAAAGTAGTGTAGGATTACAAATGAAGAACAAAATAACAAAGACTCAACAAACCTTAAGGACTTAAGATATCTTCTATCTTTGCATCTGGTCCTTAAGGTTGCAACAACTTTGTTCTTGAGAGAGAGGTGGTGGCTAGCACTTGAGAGAATATTATTTTTTGATTGGCAAGTGTTGAAGAGATGAAATCCCTTGCCTCATGTTGATAATGTGTGTGTATGATGTCATCAAGGATGATGTAATAAAGTGTCCTTTAGTTTGGCCTTAGCAAGCTACAGCTGTGCTGCTGTACTACTGCCAGACGGTACAGTGCAACAACCTAACAGACGGTACGGTGCAATAGCTTTTATAGCTGTAGAGTTGACTATACGATGACCAGGGAAACTGATCCATATTTGTTCCCTCTGATGTTCCCTTATCTGATTTCATTGAGAATTAAACCAGACATCTGACTAGTTACTCTGAATGCAAGGGAACTAATTGTATTAGATTCTTTATATGATTCTCTCATGAAGTTTGTCAAATCATCAAAACAAAAGACACATAACTTATCAAAGAGTTTGGAAAATCTCATTCCTGAACAAGCGCTTACCTGTCATTTTGATTTGTGTAGTAATGTTAATACCAACAACATCAATATTTGCTCCTGAGGTAAACACAATATCTGCAGCCTCTGGATCCCCATATATCTGCATTGTCAGAACACTTTCTAAATTAGATAATCAAATAATACAAATATTTCTGAACGGCCGGACCACAATGGTTTATTGTACGCAGCCTTATCCTATATTTCTGCAAGAGGTTGTTTCCATGACTCGAACTTATGATCTATTGGTCACATAGCAACAACTTTATCAGTTACGCCAAGTTCCCCTTCTAAGTTAACGATGAGCTTAAGAAAAAAAAAATCAGTTTTAGATAGTCCTATGAATTAGGGTTTCAAACAACTATGAGATATACTGGCATGTTTTTGCACATTGTCAATATCGATTTACTTATAAACGGATTAATGTGAAGTCAAACTAAAAGGGAAAGAAGATGACGCACATTTGCTTCTGCAGCAGGATTAACATTTCCCAAAGCAAAGAAGGAACCACCAAGTATCACCACCCTCTTCACCTTGCTTGCAAAGGTTGAGTCCCTTTTAACAGCCTAAACCGAAACACAACAACTAAAATATTGCAAATGAAAAGCAATAAAAACCCTCGAAAGTTTCTAATTTTTGAGATACAACTCACCAAAGCCAGATTAGTCAGTGGTCCTAGTGCAAGTATAGATACTTCACCAGGATATTCGGATACTTTATCAACCAGAAATTCAGATGCAGATTTCTCAATTTTCTTAGAATTTGGAGCAGGTAAACATAAGTTGCCTAATCCGTCGGAACCACGAACAAAGTCCGCAACATGTGGCTCCCCTCTCTACATAATGTTAATATCCAAGTCAGGTGATAGTTCACTTGAGAAAATATGGACGAGAAATGAACGCGGGATGCCTTGTGCACCAGATACAAAGAACTAACTGGCCAAGCAAATTAAACAGTGATCATAGCAGGAAAGATAAGCATAGAATTATGATTGCATATTTCCCTAGCAACCTGAAATATGGTTAAGCTTTTGCAATTACACATAAACCTAATTACCTTCAAAGATTCAAGGCTACCCTCTGCCACTGGGATATCTGGATATCCTTCAGTCTCACACTATCCTTTTGCAAATTAAAAAGGTGACTGATCGAGATTTTGTTCTGAAGACATCAAAATGCTTAAATCAAGGATTAATGTAAAAGCATACCAAAATTAATGCATTTCTTCTCAACTTCTGGAGTTTGGAATGCCATTAGTTTCGCCACGCTGTCATCTACATATCAATAAAACTCAATCAGATCAATGAGAACATGTCGAACAGGACCGTACTTGGCCAAATAAACTACACAAGTTAACCAGATCAAAATTTGTCTTGAAAATGAAAGAGGCTTCACAGTCCATAGAGTGGACAAGTTATTTCCACATTTTAGAGGATAACAAAGAATAGAGTATCTTCTATGATTATATTAAAAGGGCATATAGTTCGGTTTGTTCTGTAATGAACTGTGAACATTTTTTACATTTCAGAGAGTTGTTTGGCTCAACAAGAAAGAGCTCTTCTGAGTTCTAGCTTTTCAAATTCCCCACATTGATGCTCCCAAAAATGTTTCTTCCAAATTAAGAAAAACATCAAGAAAGAAACTCTCAAAATTTTAGTATAAGGTAAAAACCTTCTACCTTATAGTTATGCGTAAGGCAATCAAAGTTAGCAAACAAGAACTTGTCCTAAAGCTATTGTCGAACAATGACAGAAATCATAAACAACAATTAGCCAAAAGAGTCATAAAAATGATGAACTCAGCCAATTTTGGTAATTGGCTATATCTCTGCATTATATCTTTTCTTTATGAAGGCAACACACATGTCTTTACAGAGAGAATATCAAATGTTTAATCCTGCGATCGACTAGATGGAACTCTTAGAATTTGATCCGATCAGCAAAGATCATAACATAAATAACGAAAATAAGTGAATGTTCCAGCAATGTTAACTTTTTCAAACATCTCTTTGAAGAATGATAGCAGAGAGTATTAAATAATAAAAATCCATAGAGCCAAAGGATATGAACTGATCATCTTTGTATCAGAAAATTTCATGTATAGATGTTTTGTTTAACCATAATCGGCCTATTTACTTTTCACCCAATGTTATCAAAATACATGGTTCTAAAAACGAACTCATAGGATGGCACCGTAGCAGTGGCGGAGCCAAGATTTTCGCTAAGGATTATCAAAATATAAGAATTTAAATACACCGTAAAATGAAGAGGAGTCAATGTATCGTAAATATACATAAAATAAAAAAATTTAGGATGTCAACCGACACACCCCTGGTTCAATGTGGCTCCGCCACTAATCATCAGTATTTTCTTTCTTTAATGTTGTGGAGGTACATACAAATATTCCTAATATGTCATCGTTCATTCAAGAAATTTGAAACTCAATAGCAATAGAACAAAAAATTGCTCAAAAATGCTAAAGAATACAACTTTAAGGAAGAGGAAAATCTTACCAATGCCAGGATCAGTATCTATGATGATCTTTTCACGCTTTTTAGCAAGAAAATCGCTGTCAGTATTCGACATCTTTGTCTAGGAAACTCCACGGATTACCAAGAAGTTGAAATTCAAGAAAATGAAGGAGCTTTTAGAAATGGTTAATATTTAGTGCGTTTAGAAAATGGAAGTGTAATAAACAAATGAACTTCAAATTACAAACGTGTGGGTTAAGCTAAAAAAAGATGGAGTTGTATAGTCAGCTCTGACGATGAGCTGAATTTTTATATACAGCAAGCTCTATTATTTCCCACCAACTGTTCTCTCCTCTATATATAGTGTCGTCGATTTACATGAGTTAATGGGTTCGTTCTTTATGCATACAAACAAATAGTATTAGTACTACTATAGGCTTGGGAATATTATAGTGCGTAAACAAATGGCTTAGTTTTACTGGCTACGAGTATCCTAATTTTATTAACTTTGTCATTATAATGCTAAGCAAGTCATAATGGCGAATAAAGAGGCGTGATGATCTTCACCTTTACACTTTCATACTTTATACTTAATCACTTATGAGTTGTTTGTTGAAATATTCGAGGAGATTAATTATCTCACTTTTTATTAGGAATAACTAATTTCACCATTTTAGTAAACATTATTTCGGGATTGACTAATACCCCAAATCAAACATGGGATAAAGTTAATCTCAAACTTTATCCCGAAATTATTATTCTTTTCTCGTGTACCAAACTACCACTCACACCTCTCGTAGGCTATATAATAAAAAATAAATTATTAATACCTCAAGAACAAGGAAATAATCAAGAAAAGAAAGTGCAACGTTCTTGGATAAACTCATAAACTGAACTCAGTAAGGGGATAATTAAGAACCTAAACATTTAACTAAAGGTGAAGAGATAATCTCATAATCATCAGGCCACATCACTTGGTAATAGTATTATTGTACTTCGTATTCACTTATTTGATAACGAGTACTCCTAAGATTTTTATTCTTTAAATGTATAAATTTCTCTTAGACGATTAATAAATATTATTGTAGTAAAGGATACTAATTACTATAATATTAATTGAGTGAAACTATTGGAAGTAACAGCTTGTCAGAATGGTTGATATGTATTGTTTCGTAATGTATCATATAATATTGTATCTGTATCGTTTTGATGTATATAATGTTTGGATAGATTGTATTATTTATCGTCGTTTCATGATATCATGCACCAATAATATGAAAAATAAAATTGCAATATTATAAAGCAAAAGTAAGGTATTAGAAGTAAAATTATTATATAAAAGGTAGAATAAAGGATAAAATAGAATTATTTAATAATAAGGAATGGCAAGATGAGCGAAAAAATAAGGTAATGATGCGATCACATCAAATTGGTCGTTTCATAAAGTGACATTTTTCGTCGTTACGTAACGACGGATTTAAAAATACGATACAATAAAATTTAAGTAAACAACAACAACAACCCAGTAAAATCCCACTAATGGGGTCTGGGGAGGGTAGTGTGTACGCAGACCTTACCCCTACCCCGAAGGAGTAGAGAGGCTGTTTCCGAAAGACCCTCGGCTCAAAAAAAAGAAGACAAAAGGGACAGAAAGGGAGACAATATTAGTATCACAACAACAATCATAGGATAAATAGGAACACCATGAAATCCAGAAGAAAGATGCAAAGTAAAGGGAGACAATATTCGTAAATATTAGTATCACCACAACAGTCATAAGTAAAATAGGAATCTCATGAAATCTAGAAGAAAGATGTAAAGCAACAGCCATAGCTAGTAAATAGGACCTGCACTGAAAAGAGAAATAGTAAGCCACAATATTTTCACTAGTTATCTTAAAAAAAAAAAAAAAAAAACCTACATGGCTAGTCCCACCATGTTACGAAGTAAGGCACGACTC